AGGGGGGGGGGGGGGGGGGGGGAAGGTTGGGCACGCATGTGAAAGAAAGAAAAATAAGAAAAAAGCGGAACCGTCGGCTGGAGGCTAAAGTTCTAAACTACAACGATTTCTACATACCTTTACAAAAATCGGTTCTTCTAATAGACCAATAGTGCCGACCACCGTCAGAGATCCTTCTAAACTTTCTCGAGGCACGGCACTACACTTTGGAATCCTCTTGTAAAATTCAGCTGAAGAACTAGCTTTTAGATGGAGTTCATGCAAGCCTTCAATGTGTACCGGCTCTACGCGGAAGACGATGAGATCCAAGTACTATCGCTGCAATATGCCGACACATCATATGCCTTCAATATCTTCCTCCCGAAAACAAGGTAAGGCATCCGAGTAAATCTCATGGGAAAGTGGCAAAAGGTGGATTGTCATCTAAGGAAGCACTAGAAGGAGCCGAGCAGAAGCTAGCAGTGGTTGACTCTCCTCCATGGATATTCTCTTTATCACACACAGTCTACCCTAACCTCCCCTTTTTTGGAAAATCGTTGAAAATTGAAAGTAAAGAACGATTTAGACAAAAACAGACTGAAGGCTTTATCATTACCAATAAAAGAAGTAAAAATGTGGATGTCCAGGATCAGCTTAGCTATGGCTCTGTACTTTGCAGATTTGACTTCAGCAACATGCGGTGGAGTTTAACTGCAAAGCAAATTAAGGAGCTTCTGTCGAAATTGGACCAAACCTACATGACGGTATGGACACTAACTTCCCCGAATCTTTGAGAACACTGGTAATATAATATAGTCTTGATAAGTTAATGGAGAACAGCCGCAGTCGAAGAGCAACTCGTCCAGAGTTTGCTGCGCGGTGTTGGAATCTTTGAATCTTCCTCCAGGATTGTGCCTCACGTTTTTCTGGCAACCATATCACTTCCACCTGTTTTCAGATCATGATCCCAAAGATGAAGATTGAAACGAACCTCAAACTCAAAGAAATTCTTCCCTCGATGGGTATCTCAAACATATTCAACCACCATGCCGATCTGAGTGGAATCACCCAAACAACTCCATTACACATCTCTGAAGTCACTCATGATGCGATTATTGAGGTAAGCTACTCGGAGTTCACCCTAACCTTTTGAGAACCCAAATTTTTTAGCTTATGGATCATATTGCAGGTTGATGAGGATGGTACGACGGCAGCCGCAGCCACAAAGTTCAAAGCCGAATGGAAATCACTCAAAGTAACTGTACCTATAGAGTTCATTGCAGATCATCCGTTCATGTTTATTCTTACTAAAGATAAAAACCCTTTGTTTATGGGTCAATTCTTATAATAACCATGGTTGTTTGGCTGATGTCGATAAAAATCGATTTTTGATGGATTTTTTGCACGAAATCAATCAATGGATGCGTTGCTTGTTGTAATAAATACAACAGCTGTCGTGTGGTTCTCTTTGACTTCATGGTCTTTGGGCTTGATCAGTTTCGAGCCCTGGCAGCGAAAGGCATCACTGAAGGCATTTTCATTGATTTTAAGGGGAGTCGAGAACGAATAAAAAATAAAAACAAAAATGATTGTTACATTGATGTAATCAGTTACTTTGATTGATCACTTCGGAGTGAGCCATGAGTCATACTTCAGCTCAAAAATCCTAGACATTAGACAAAGTGCCCTACTATAGAGGTTTATGGTTCAGTTAATTGTCTAATACAATCGTTTGATTACTTAATTTTTCAAATCACCAAACAATTGAATATCGCGAAAACTCGGCAATTGGATGGGCAAAAAACTCTTGTGATCCCAACGTCATTCCGGATTCGATCTTACTTTTATAAAAATTTTCAATTTATTCTGAACTCAATAGGGAGAATGGATTTCGTGGGGATTTTATTTTTGCAAACCTCCACAAAATGAAAATTTATCCTTCTTTGGGCTGTCGACAATGACACTAAAGTCGCCTGTGCGATTAACGTATTCAGTAGTCCATGAGTTGGAACTTAAAGCATCATTCTGGAAGTAAGGAAATGGACACTTTCAAAACAATGGCTCCCGAAATTATACCATTGTTGCTACTGAATTTTTCTCGGAACCGAAGAAACTCCTTAACGAAGACGGAGCCAGCAGAAGGATTTCCTTAACGAAGACGGAGCCATTGACGGAGTTTCGCATTCGTTATGTATCAAAGAATCGCTCGATGTAGATGCTTTCCTATGCCAGAAGCTGCTCATGGAGATTGCTTGGGCAGTTAGGGTACTCAGAGTCATTGCATGTAAATGAACATAAAGGTGATTAAGAGCATATTATGCATAAAAAATCACATATTATGCATGTTTTGGGAGTACTCGTGTTGTGGGAACGCATTGATTCGACCGGATTCTGTTTTTCACGTTAAAAAGCCTATCTGGACTACAGTCGTGTAGCCATAGTCCCCACCACTACTCTCTATAGAAACTTCGGTGAAAATGTAGCTGAAGGGGGGGGGGGGGGGGGGGG